CAAGCCCTGCCCGGCCGCCGTTACTCCAAACGAGCTTGAAAGCGGCGCCAGGCACCTGCACAAACACTCGGGCCGCCCAACGGCGAGGTGTTTGGCAGGAGAAGGGCAGGGCTGCTCCCCAGCGCTCGCTGCGGCTGCTCCCTGCTCCGTAGGGAGCCCCCGAGGGAGCGGATTCACGGGCTTTGATGGCTTTCCAGCTGCACGGGTAGAGGTGGTGCCCACGTGAACTGGAAGAACTCCACCCCACTCGGAAAATACGACGCTGCCGCGAAGAGAAGTCGCTCGGCAGCCCGCGAGCGGCCAGCGGCGAAGAAAGACCAACCTTCGTCATCGGTGTCCCCTGGCAGGGTGAGGTGGGGCACCGAGAGGGTCATCATCTCCCAGAGCGTGAGGCCGAAGGCGAAGATGTCGGCCTTGTCGGTGATGACGCCGTCCTCGCTCAGCGCCTCCTTGGGCTTCCAGGGCTCGGTGCCGATGTAGCAGGCGGCCGGGTCGCTCACTGCGGGGACAGGAGGCCCTGGCTTAGGCCTGGGCTGGGTTTTTAGCCCCAGGGAGGCCAGGAAACCAAGAGCCTCCCCGGCCTCAGCTGCAAGGAGGAGCACCTTGCAGGGGAGGCAGGGCCCGCTCCCTGCGGAGCGGTTGGGAATGTTGGCCGCCAACATTCCCAATCGCTCCGCAGGGAGCGGGCCCTGCCTCCCCTGCAGAACGTGAGCCCCGTTTTGGCTCGGCCTCAAGCAAAAACCAGGCCTTCCTGCCCCCAAACTGCCGCTTCAACCACGCTCCTCTCCATGGGATCGCGCCGGGGCGTTGCCTCCAGCTCTCCCGCTCCTAGCTTTGCGCTGGGAAGGAGCCTCCCGCCTTGCTGGAGGATAACTGGGGAGAATGGATGTGGCCGCTTGCCCTCAAGCTTGGAAAGGAGCTCCTGGATGGTCTGCGGCCACCACGCGTGGGTCTGCGGCCACCACGCGTGGGTCTGCGGCCACACGCAGAGCAAACCAGACCACAAGCCCTGTCCTCCAGGGCAGCAGGAACGCGGCCGCTCAGATGTTCTCCGCTCGCAGAGCCAAGTGCTGAGCACCAAACACTCGTGTCACCTCCCGAGAGCCCAACCCACCGGTCATGTTTTCGTCCAGGGCCAGGGACACGCCGACATCGCAGATCTTGACGGCTTCAAAGTCACCTTTGACCACCACGTTGGACGACTTGATGTCTCCGTGGAGCAGCTTCTTCTCGTTGTGAAGGTACTAGGAGGCACAGAGAGAGACACTTAGTCCACACGCAGGTGCTGAGSAAACATCAGACATAGACAGCAAAGCATCAACACCTTAAAATTTAACACACTTAGCCTTAAAAACTCACGGGCAGATCATGTTCAACTGCACCACGTGCAGAACAGAAGCACTCAAGCCAAGCAGGCTGAGCTGGCGAGCCTTGGTGTGCATTGGACATGATCAAGAGCAAAGCATTTGGCATTAGTAAGAGCATTTGCCATTATTAAGAGCAAAGCCTGGACTTGCACAGGGCAGGTTGCTCCATTCAGCCTGGTTTGGGGGCTTAGAGGTGCCTTTTAGTGAAGAACCTCACCCCAGCTCGAGTAGGGCAATGGGTATTTGGGAGAAGGCATCAGCTGGGGCAGGGCAGCAGCTCCGCAGGACACCAGTGCCAACAGCTCCGGTTTTTACTGCACAAAATACTCAATATTACTTTGAAAAGTAGCACTTTGGAGCTCAGGTGAGCCCTTGGTTTTAATACATTGATATTAAATATTGATGTCGAACGTACCTGCAGCCCCCTCGCCATGCTCAAGGCGACCTTGAAGATGGTAGCGGCAGGGAAAGGGCCCAAGCGCTCCGAGTTTCGCTCTTCGATTAGGTCGTTGAGGGATTTCTCTCCTCCAAACTCCATGGCCAGACACATGCTGCCGTCGTGGGCCTTGGTGAACGCCCGGTAACCTGCGCACGGAGAGATTTGTTGGAGCTGGAGCAGGGAGGAAGAGGGAATTYGTCTTCTCAGAGCCCTGGTTTAGCCAAGGAGATGCATTGAGGAGCAAAGACACGAGCCACAAACCTCGGGATGAGACAGACCCTCCACAACAAGGAGCAGGCCCCCCTGGTTTTTGCTTCCATTTCACCATTCTCCCTCCGTGCTTCATTCCCACCCTTAAGCAGGGCTCGTCAGGCGAAGCATTAAACGGAAAAATCTTGAAGAACAGCCCAGCAAAAGCCTCGTTCTGTAAGGTATCTACAGCCCATTTCACAAAGAGCAATGGAAACATTTGTTCTGTTGAGAGGTCAAAACTCTCTTTACGCTTACGTTTCCAACTCTCTGTATTAAAGGCATGAAAAAGAGCCAAGTTCCCTGGTCACACGTAGCACTTCCAGTAGAAGTGGCAGCACCTACGTGTCTTAAAGTAAGGAGAAAGCCAGAGGTCTTGCAGCTGTCAGGGAGAGTTTTTATGGCAGATTGGAGCCGAAATTAAGCCACAAAACAGTTTCTCAAGGTATTTCTAACAGCAATAACCAAGAGACGGGCACTTAGAGCACCTACCCACAATGTTGGGGTGCCGCAGGTTCTTCAGGATCTCGGCCTCGTCGGTGAGCCTCTTCTCATAGACGCTTTGCTGGCTCTTGTYGCACTTGGGGTTGATCTTCTTCACGGCCCACGGGGACGACGAGGAGCCTTTGGGAGATCTGCAGGGAGCGATTCCCAAGCGGCGGGATTTCAGAGGAAAACGGATCGTTTCCCGCCCCGTGGCACCTTTTCCACCCGGCTCCAGGGCACCACGTCCCATCCGTTCCCACCTTTTCATGAGGTAGACGTTGACCCCCGTGCCGTAGCCCAGCTTCTGCATGAAGGGGGACGCCGGGATGGTGACGGCGGCTGCTCCCGCGTCCGGGACGGCGGGATGGGCGCAAGGGGCCGCGGGCAGGGGCCGTGCCGGGGGCTCCCGCCCGCACTCACCGGCTCCGGGGCCGCCCCGGGGGCACGGGGGGGTCCTGAAGGCTTCCATGGGGCGGGAAGAGGCGCCCCTCGCCGCGGCACCCGCTGCCTGTGGGTGGCATTAAAGCGTACATATATATCCGTATATATGTCAGGTTAAGGCTGGGATGTATATATCCGTATATACATCAGGTCATGGGGGGGGGACAGGGAGCCCCCCCTCCTTGCAGGGATGAGGAGGGGAGATCGGGGGGTCCCACGAGGAGGGGGGGTTGGGGGCCCCCC